AGATAGATAGATAGATAGATAGATAGATAGATAGATAGATAGATAGATAGATAGACATAGACAGATAGATAGAGATAGAAGAAAGACGAGAAAACGAAGAGTGAGGAAGAGATAGAAAACAAAAGTAGGGACCAGAGCATAGAAATGGTGCAAAAGAGAAAGAAAGAGATGTGAAAGCAAGATCGAGAACGAGCAAGAAAGGATGTGGACATGTGTGTGTGTGTGTGTGTGTGTGTGTGTGTGTGTGTGTGTGTGTGTGTGTTTGTGTGTATGTGTGTGCAACACCCACAGGAACCAGTCGATGGCCAAGATGAGCGTGACGTCTTCAGTGGGCAGCCCTACAGCTGTCAGCACAATCACCATGGTAACCAGACCGGCCTGGGGAACACCAGCCGCTCCAATGGCAGCTGCTGTGGCAGTCAGGCTGAGAAAAAAAACGACGTACATGTGCTGTTACGTTTACTTTTAGTGGGAGTTTTTACGGCATTTGCAACGTAATTAGGTCCTAATGTAAGTACCGAAGATTAGAGATTTTAGAAAAAAGTAACAAACACAACAAAGAAGTTGGAGAAATCAGGAGACAAATGTAATGTATTTTAGTGATCATGTGTATGCTTCCAAAGAAGGGTTTTCAAAATATAGGGCCCAAAGAAAAGAACTTAAAAAAATAATTGGATGAAATGTTTTTGCAAAAAATATTTTTGTTTGGTCGCTGGCAGAAGTGCCACGCAAAGTTTCGTGGCGTAGGTAAAATAATAAATAAGCTAGAATTATTTTTTACGCGGACAGACGGAAGTGAACAAGTTCATATTTTCACTCACTCCTCCCTTGCCTTAAGCTGTCACTCACTGCAGCAAAATCTTTCTTTTGATGCCCATCATCGAGTTTTTCAGGACTCCTTTGTCATATTCTTTTTCTTGCTTCTGGGAACAATCAACACGCTTCTATCTCTGTAATTTTAGAAAATCTGCCAGGTTTGTTTGCATATAAAAAGTGGACTTGGGAGGCTTTTTGCATAAACTCCTCCCTTATTACGTAACCCATACCTTTGAAACTTTGCAGGCGCCCACAGCATCCATGTGGCTAGGACCTAACTTTTAAAAAATCCACGAAAACTGCTTTCCCCGATTTTTCCAAAATGCTTTGTTTCGTCAACACAGAGTTCTAATCTTGGGATAGCAAAGATAGTACATAACAAGATGGGCCACTCAGCCAAAAAAAGTGTCCGCCGGAAGTTCGCTCTTTGCTTCAGATGGCGCTGCAGTCCGTTTTGAAGCTCTCTTTCGTTTTTCCAGAAGAAGAATAGGAATAGCACCTCCTTGTGAGCGCAGATCGACTGCTGTTCATCAGCAGTTCGGGTTCGTTCAGTGTTGAGTTTTAGTTTTTTATTTTATTTTAATGACCTCTCTCCTTTCATTCTAAAGTCAAATTAAACGAAGAAAACAATAACCCTTTCCTCCGGAAGAGGGGTTTTTTTTTGTTGTCAGCGTAACCATTAAAAAAAAAGCGTTCTTCCGAAATTAATTAAAAATCTTGCTAGTTTCACTTCGATTTTTTAAACTCAAGTAGTGTAACTCTGTTCGCAAAGGGTGCGCATTTGCCAAGAGGGCGCCACCGAATTTTGAGGACACTTTTTTAATTGGCTCAAAGAGAGAAGTGGCCCCTCTTGTTATGTTGACTCTTTGGGGATAGTCCGTCTTCTAAGACGCCATTGTAAACAAGTGATGGTTTCCATTCACTGGGTGTGCGCATTGATGCCACGCCTTTGAAATTCTGGAGTGTACAACCACGAAAGCGGAATAGAGAATCAATGTATATTTATTATATATGAGTCATTTTTTTTAAAATGTCGCCTTTTTTGAATTTGTGATTACAGACCTAATTCCTTGGATACCAATATAAAATAGTTCTTAGAATTGCCATTGGCTATGATCATGAACAAGGTAAAACGTTCCCTGACCTTAAAATAAGGTTTTCAAAACTGCCTAAGTCATAGAAATTTTATAGCTCCTCTGTAAATCTTGCTCAATAGGCAAAAATGGCAAGTTCCGCTACACGTATATGTTTTTAAAAACTTGCTTAGGAATAAAAGTAATTGCTCCAGGGATTAAACATTTCAGAGTTATACAGAGTATTGGACAGCATTACCGAGGAAAAAAAATCTTGGTGCCCGTCTTTGTCTTATATTTGCTGATTAACTCTTTATCTTCATATTTTACTTAACCCTTTTCAAACTTCTCTCCTGTTACACAGCATTTCACACAGATGAATGGTTTCTAGGTATATATTTATTTTCTTTGAGATTTTGCGAGTGAAGACTCCCTTCCTATTCCTTTATATGGCATGAGACAGCGGAGCTTACGCAATGCACGATTGAAAGGTACAGAGCCAAGGTCAACCCAACATGGTGTTACCGGGGTCTATAACGACTTATTATACAGAAATCCGATACACTCTCCTTTGGTTAGGAAGTCTGCCAAGGTTACATTTCACTGATAAGACAATCCATAACATGAGCTCTACCCAGTTAGTGGTTGTCAGGGTAATGATGTACAGAATTCCCTCCTGTTACTTTCCCTCCTGTTACCCGGATTTTGGTAACAGGAGAGACTAAAAAGTAACAGGAGAGAAGGGAATGTGCTCAATAGCTTAACTGACCACAGTTTGGGTTAGAATGTGAGGTAGTCAGTGCTTAATAGAGTAAATGAAAGAGGTTAAAACTAAAGGAATGTTTGTGTTTTTTCAACAAAACACCTGAATTGTACTTGTTATCTTTGAGTAACAGGACGGAATTGAGAGTAACAGGAGAGAATACAATATAACAAGAAGGAGGGGTACATGTCAAATAGCTAAACTGACAAAGTTCGGGTTGAAAATGGGTAATTTATGCACAAACAAAAGAGAATAGTTATTATATGAAAAATGTGTCTGTACTTTTTCAACAAACTCCTGTATTGTGATTCTGTAATTTAGGTAACAGGATGGAATTGAGAGCAATAGCGAGGGAACAACAGAGTAAAATGAAATACAAAACCTTCCATTTATCTTTCATCGATGATAATAATAATGGAACCTACTTTTGTTCCACCAAAGTCTAAAACCTTCTATGTTGATAAATGGTATCGGAGAGGTCTAAGTAATCGTGATATTTCGGGTTTAAGGGTTCGAGCCTCAGCTCGGTCCAACGTTGTGTCCTTGAGAAAGACACTTAACACGAATTTCCCATTTGGCTCCGTCCTTTCAGAGAGGACGTTAAACTCGGAGGTCCCACCTCTTAAAAAATCTTATAAGGACGTTAAACCTGTACCATTTTACTATGTTAACCAGAGAGGTCTTAAAATGTAGGTCTAGATCTAGGTCTTTTATTTAGTTGCAAATTTAGAAGTGCATTTCGCGTTATTGCAGAGACGTAGATGTAGATCTAGACTGAAATAAGAAATAAGAATCTTCTTTGCAGAAAATCTGTCGCACATGAAATCAGCTAAGCTTAGTTGACTTCAGCACTATGCCACTTATGCTAGATCTAGATTAATGTATGAAGGGCAGGCCCTTTTGATAGTTGATTTCTCAAACAGGACTTTTTAACATATAAATATTTGCTATTTTTCCCCAGAGACAAAGCAGACTCATGCTGAAAACAAGTAATAAAGGAGAGACAGAGAGAGGCGAAACAAGAACCTAGTGAAGAGACAGCACTACATGCAGTATGAAAAGCAGAACTGCATCAAACACAAAGAACAAAGAATCTGAAGAGGAAATCAAACAGTCCCGATGATAAAACAACAGAGGCCCCATCCTCAAGTGTGCTATTTCTAGACTAAAATGTAGGTTTGCAATGAAAACAGTGAAGAGAAAAATACAATTAAAGTTGAAAATGAAAACCTTATCTGAGAGCAAGAAGGCAGTGAAAAGAATACTGCAATTTCCTTTTGCTCTCATTAATGAATTGAAAGACAATACAAGAAAAAGAAAAAGAAAAGTATTCAAATGTTAGTTTCAGGCGAAATATTAAGGAAGTTCAAAATCCAGTGCAAATTTTAATTTTGTAGAACTCTCAACATAAAGAACAAAAGAAAGCTGAAGAAAAAAGTGCTTTCAACTCAGCAGATGGATAAAGTGCACATTTTGGATTTTTTTCCCTTCGTCCTGACAACTCCAGAATTATGAACGGTTTAAAAATATTGTTACCTTGAAAGAGATTTTCTAAAACCCAAAAACGTTTGTTAAATGACATCGTAGATCATCTGTACAGAGAGTACCAGAGCAGTTCAAACTTTTGGCGGCGGAAGCTATTTAATTTAGGATCTTTAAGAAAGCTAGAGAATCAGATCGAAACACTTGTGCGTGCAAGATTTGTGATAACAGAGTTGACAGCTCACGCATCGTTTATGCATTGCGTTCATCTGAAAGTTATTCCTGCTCAAGTTTGGCCACAACATGCATGCACGGATCGTGTGATCATTGAAACCCAGCCACACTACTAAACATTACCATCGACGGGACACAGATTAAACAAGTTGAAGAATTTAAATAGCTTTGGAGCATGCTTACACATGACAGAAGATTGAACATAGACCTAGTTTTTCACCAACATGATATTGCATTAGCCCCCAAAAACCTATTCCAGTAACACAGCTCTATGATTTCTGTTGGTAACAGGAGAGAACGTTTTCATAGGAAACTAACACAAAAGTTGCCGTTACGCTCTAATTTGACGGAATTAAGCTCAGGAATTTCACATTTATGTCTATAGATGGTTGATACATTTCATCAATATTATTTCGAAATTTTTCATAAAAGTTAATTCTTCGAAAAAATGAGAATCTAAAATGTGTGTGTGTGTGTGTGTGTGTGTGTGTGTGTGTGTGTGTGTGTGTGTGT